GGCTAGGAGACAAAAGCTTGAGAACCTCTGAGGGCTGGAAATTAAGTAGCCTGGGAAGCAAATATTTGTGTCCCCTGTGCACAGGATCGCAGGTAATAGGCCCCTTCTAGTCTTTCCAAAATCTTCCTTTGCTAGTCAGGACTAGATAGCCTTCCTCTTCCCAAGGATGTCCTGCATTTTTCTGTATAGATTTTGAAATTCTCTTCTGGCAAAGTCATAGAGAGTGTCAGTACCTTCTCTCCACTCTGTTTCATGCTGAGCCACAGTGTAGGTCCCTGCAAACCCATCACTTGATGGCTGTGTCACCTCCAGCCCAGTACAATGTAAAAACTCTTCCAGATACCTTGCACCCAACTTGCCACCCTCAGGAATGCACAGGTTTCAGAGGTGGCTGGTGCTGACATCCCCTTGAATATTTTTTCCCCACTAGATCTTGTAGAATTGTGGAGAGGGAGATGTTCTTTGATTATTATTGTGCAAGGGGAGTTTGCAACATGCAGAGAGCCTGAGCTTTAGTCACACTGGTAACTCTCCAAGTGGAGAGCTGGCCCCGTTTCTAAGCCTAACCCATGGCTCTGACTGTACTGTCTGTCTGCAGCAGATTTCAAAAAGGCCCTGGAGCACTCTGGCATTGCCCTGGAAAGGCACATGGCAGTCCTGCAGGCTGTGGGGGAGAGGACAGCTGTGGGACAGTTTTAGCCATACATAAGATTTGCTCCAAGGGACAGCAGTGGCTACTGAGCTCACCTTTTCATGTGTCATCTAGCTCTTTCTCTTGGTTGCTCGAACACCTCTGCACACCCAACTATGGAATGAAATGTGCAATCTGCCACTGCACACAGGTATCAACATCTCTGTTGTGGGGGCTGCCCAAGCCATGTCCAGGACCCTCCTTCTACCTTGCTGACATTGCTAGCAAAAGCAAGGAGAGGATTTTTGTTTCTCTCTGGTTTTGTGTGTTTGCCATTCAGTCCCTTCAGTCCTTCCAAAACTGGCTTTTGCTGGGGGAATAACCTTCTTGCACAAAAGGTTGCATATTATTCAAAATGTTCCATTTTCCCACTCTGACACCAAGCAGGGAAGACAAGGTCCCAGGAGCATGGGCCAGAAGACTAATTCCCAAGTGTGGCTCAAGACCATAAAGCTCTGCGTAACCTGGAGTAGTGGAAGGTTCCCTGCACATGGCAGGGGTTTGGAACTACATCTTTAAGGTCCCTTCCAACACAAACCAGTCTGTGGTTCTATGATTCTATGAATTAAACATTCTGAGATGATTAATATGTTGATGTCTGATTAATAAGTTAGGCCCACACCACAACTCCAGACGTGGTCATTCAAGGCTGAACTTGAACAGGGAAAGACGATGATCTTACACCCACGTGTGTGTGCACCAGGTTCCAGGATTTAAGTAGTTCTGCCAGTACCTGTAGCACTGCTTAACAAGATTTTTAGTGTAAACTGTGTTGTTATTGACAATAATGACTCATACCGTAAGCAATAATTTGAATTTTAATAACTCCACAACCAAACATTCATCCCACCCAGTGGTTAGTATGCTGTGGGCAAATATGGAATTGGGTCACATTTCTAAGATATTTTTTTAATTTATGGTTTTACTTGCTCCTTTATACAGCACTTTGATGGGTTTATTAAATTATATTTACATTTTTTTATCTGCAACGGTATAAAACAAAATTCAAGAATAGCCAAGCAAGATTTCTTTAAATGTTGTGGCAGTCTGGTTCTGCAGGAGGTCAGTTGCCCTCACACAGCTGTAGACCTGCTTGTTTCTAACTGGAGTTCAGGGAACCCATTTCCATGTTCTGAAGTGGTGTCATTGGAAAGGTGCAGATGAGGCTTTTGGAGCATTGGGTCCCTTGCTCTGCTCTGCCCTAGTACTTGCTCCTGAGTTTGGGATAGTCACTGTTTTACAGTTGCTCATCTAGAAAATGGGAGTTGTGAGAATAAAAGTGCAAAGGTACTGAAGGGCTCAGCATGTTGCAGGGAGAGGACACCTGAGTAAGCTGACTTGTTTTCCAGGTTTTTGTGCTACACAGATTGTCAAGTCTTTGTTTTCTCCAAGATAGCATTTTTCTGTAGTGAAGGACATTTCTCTCCGTGATGTATTGAATCCTGTTAAATGGTGTGAGTGAAAGTAAGCCCTATTGAAGAGGCTGCCAGTTCAGTTTGGAGTGCCACATCCTGGAGAATTTACCTGACACATTCCAAATGTTAATTACCAGGGCTGCTAAAGTGTTTTCTCTTGTTTCCCAGTGGAATTTTTGTCATTTCATCTCTCAGCCTTTAAAGCTGGTGATCAAACTGATGATTAAACTGATGATTAAAATGGCTTTGAGCAATGTTGGCATTTTATTAGCAGGGGTTTGTGCTCTGAATCTGTTCAGTCTGAGAAGGCATGGAATATCCTACCCAAGAACGACCTGACCCTTTGGCCATCTGCTGCTGTCCCACTTTCTCTGTGCCTGGGAATGGCATCTGTTTAGCACCATCTTTGTTGCTCCTCCCCAGCTGTGGTTCAAGTTGGATTCTTGTGCAGAGGCTGGGAATGTCTGACTTGCAGGGTGTTTTGTAGTCTTTGTATGAACACTGTAATGCTTGGTCAGAAATTCTCCATCTCCCAAGATGAGATTTGAAAGGGATTCTGCAAAGTGCTGTAATTTATCAATTTCCAGTGGTGATATTTTGGAGGTGATGGTGTGGCTGGACAAGCACAGATTTTGGCTGGATTGTCTGCTGGAAGATGAAAAATACTGAGAAGAATCTGAAGAATACAGTTTCAAAACAGTTTTGGGTAGTTAGTAATTGATTTCTGAGGAGGAAATCTGGTGGCAATGGCGGGTGGGATGAGTGGGCGTACCCTGTCTGGGGATTGCTGGGTTTTCCTGAGCTTTGCCCATTAAATACATCTTCTTTGCTTGTCAATCAAGTTGACTAATTATTAATTACTCAACTTTTTTTTTTTTGTAGTGAGATACTAATGTCTGCAAAAGAATGTGGTTTCATTCGGTTGTCACATTATTTTTAATATCTTTTAATTTTGTACTATTATGATAAACATGTTTATTATGAGAGAACCAGCCCTTGCCTCAGTAAGCATATGAAATAACCAAGACAACAAGGCAAGGGAGTTGAGAAGCAGGATACAAAGCCTGAGTAATACCAGCATCCCCCCCCCTTTTTTTTTTTAACATGGGTGGTAAAACCTGAAAGTGGTCATATTTAAATAGGAGCTTTGGCAAGCACTCTAAAAATTACTTTCACTGTGGAATGTGTAAAGTAGACATTCCATTACAAACCATCAAGCTTGAAATTACTAATGATAAACCTTAAGGAAGTTAATAAGTGGTGAGAATGGTTCTAGTGTATGGAAGTCACATTTGGACATTTGCAATCAGCAACTTGTGCTCCTCTGGGAACAGATGGTTCTGAGGTACTGTAGAGGTTTCCTGGAAGTATTTGTAAGTGTACAGAAATGGCTGGTATTTGAAAGAGTGATTTAATGGCCAAGCAGAATTTTTGGGTGCCTCTTTTTCTGTGATGTTGGAATCATTGGCACCTGCTTCGCCAAACCAGCTGTGGTTCCAATCTCTAGCTGTCTCCATTGCCAGAGTGTTTTCAGGCTGAATGGTAAAAGCCATTTTGGCACAAATGTGGTGGGTAAGGTGTTTATTTTCCCCTGTTGTCAGTTGAGTGCTGGTAGTCCTGTAGTAGTTTCCTACAGGTTGGGGGCTTGTGAGAATGTTTTCATCCATAATTGTCTAGGAAAAGAATCCTGGAGCAGCAGTAAGGAATAAGTGATTTTGGAGGCTGTTAGCAAAATTCCCATATGAGAGCTGTGACAATAATGACATGGTGACCAAGTAGGGCATCGTGGCTTGGCTTGTCATGCCTGACTGAGGCCTGCTTAAGTGTCAGTTATCAAACTTACCTTTGCAGACTGACTCTTCCCTGCTCAACAACTGGAGAAGATGTGAGAGAAAACAATGAAAAGAGTCAAAGGTGTTTGTTGCTAAAAAGTCCCCGAAGGCCCCAAATGTGAAAAGGAGCCAAAAGAGAGGCAAGGCACCAGTGGCTCCCAAAAGGCTCTTGTTGGCAGAGCCAGGCTACTGGAAAAAGGGCTAACAAGCCAGCAAGGGCTAACACAGCTGAATTGGAAATGTAAAGGCCCGGAAAAACTGAACTGGAGAAGCAGCAGTGTTACTGGAGTAAATAGTGAGTGTTTGCACATTCAAATAAACCAAATCTTGCATAAGAGAGGCAAGGCACCAGTGGCTCCCAAAAGGCTCTTGTTGGCAGAGCCAGGCTACTGGAAAAAGGGCTAACAAGCCAGCAAGGGCTAACACAGCTGAATTGGAAATGTAAAGGCCCGGAAAAACTGAACTGGAGAAGCAGCAGTGTTACTGGAGTAAATAGTGAGTGTTTGCACATTCAAATAAACCAAATCTTGCATTTTTCACTTCCAGGCT